AAGACATTCTTAAATTTGTGTTCATAGATGCTGTAAATTCTTGACATGTTGAAATTGTATTTGTCACATAACTAGTCATTGTAACTAACATTTTAAGCATTTCTTTAGCATTCATTAACGCATTTGTTATCACAGCCTAAAACATATATTATTATATTATGGTACCACTATTGTGTTTACAGAATATAATATTCATACTTGTATACTTACTTCGCGTTTATTACACGCTGTAGATAAATCTTGTACCTTTCCAGATAAAGCAACATTTTCTGAAAATAACAACTGACATGCTTGTTTTTCTGCGGATAATGCTTTCGCTAATGAATTGTTATTAGTCTTTAACTTTTCACATACTACAATAGAAAATATATCCCATTAGTTATTGTACATCATATATAACGAATGCAGAAGAAATTCTTGAATTAGAAAAGCTTACAAGGTATATATGATTTATATTTAAGGTAATTTCTCATGTATTGTGATCTTTTTCTGATATCTGTAGCTCTTTTTACTTTCCGATGTTTCTTTCGTATTTGAGGCATTTTCCATTTATTATATGTCCTAATAAGAAAAATAAATATGTCACCAATGGAACGCTTGGAACTATGAAAATAATTACTTAGTTATTGTTAAAACTAATAATTAATGGTTAACGTTTAAGTGCTGAAGGAATGTTATACATATTATATTATTTTACATATTAAAGCATTTATTAAGGCAAAAAGAATGTTATAGATTTAGAGATACGAAATAATCACAAAGTTATTAAAAAAAATAACAAAAATGTACAACTTTGGTGCATACCTTTTAATACGACTAGACTTCCTTTGATATTGTAATTCCAAAATACCTAGCTAAAACCCTACTTTTAAGATTCTTAGTGTAACAATGATTACTTAACCACTTTTTGATACCGTACATTCACACAACTTACATTTTATACCAAATGAAACAGAACATTTCCGCCATTGCAAAAGCATGAACTTCACAACGGCGGGTTAAAGCCATTGATTAGAATCATAGTATATTACCGTCTTGATGTTAAATTTGAAAAAAATTAAATATATAAATATAAAAAATATATCAATAAAATGCTGTACAAGTAAATTTTCGCAACACTTTTAATGAAATCGATACGATTGGAATTAATAACTTGTTGAACGTAATTTAATAAAGCATTAAAGGACATTCATTTATTCGTTTAAACAGGATAAAATCTTATTTTGGAATATGAAATATTAAAAATCACTTATTTATTTGTTTGTTAATATTGATGATATATAAGAATATTCAATAACATTTTTTCGTTCAATCAATTATATCTAGGGTGTCTGAGGTTCTAAAATGCAATTCACAGATTAAGCATATTCTGAAATTTCATAAGAACGTTATTATTTTAAAAATAAAAATAAAGTTTCATATCCTCTAAGCAAGATTACTGATTACAATATTATGTAATTTGTCGCAATGAAAAAATAAATTAAAAAGTTATCGCATTCGCAGGTATTCTTAAATCGCTAATCCCCTAGGTAGAAACATCGCTAGAAAGTATATAACACCTGCATCTGTCCACGTCAGTGTACACGATTCCTGTAACATAACCTGAAATTTCTGATCCGGTGTACAGTCTTGCCAATGATCGAGATATTGGCTTCTATGTCAGTTTTTGTATATGTACATCTTCAATTGTAAACAAGGTATTTCAGAAATTTGTTTTACACTTCATTAAATTTTCAATTCGAGTTTAATACAATAACATCAAGTATAGTAACATATGTATTATTTGTGCAGAAAATATTATATGTAACTACATGTGTGAATACTACATTGTTCATAGGATAATATTACAAAATGAATTGGACTTTGTGGCTGTTTATAATTGGATCCTTTGGCTGTAATTATGTACATGCTCAAGTTCAAAGGGTTCCACCAGGTGTATCTCCTCAACATTATCAACAAGTGAGTTTTATTTTGAAAATCAGTAAACATATGGTGACTGTTTATTAAAGCGTCATTAAAACATATAATATGTACTTTATAAGTACATAATAGAAAATATACAAATGTTACATTTAAATTATACAAATAGAATATTTTTCTTAATTATTAATTTATGACTTGTTATGCATTTTATCTGTTTTAGCATGCTCAACAAGTACATCAAATGCCACAACAAATGCCACAACAACAGGTAATAATTAGTAAATTCATGTAGTAATTTGAGAAATCAGGTTATTAACAATTATTCATCAATAATTGTAACTTACATATAATATATCACATTATGTTTTATTGCATTTAACATATGTTAAAATAAAATCTTGTACTCATGAGATTTATAATATATTCCGAAATTTATGAAGTTCCAGCAACCTCAAGTACCTATGCATCAGGTTCCTGTTCAACAAGTACCCGTACAACAACATATGCCAACTCAGCAAGGACACGGTGTACCAGTTCAACAAGGACACGCTCACGACCAACCACAGCAAATTCTTAATGCTGCCAATATAGTTCATGAAAAGGCGTATGTTCATATAATTTTATTGTATTATGGTATTGAATACTTACATCTTTTATCTGAAATGTTTTTCTTTGTACAGTCATATTGCAGAGCACATGGAAGTTCCAATAGATACTAGTAAAATGACAGAGCAGGAATTGCAGTTCCATTATTTTAAGATGCACGACGCAGATAACAATAATAAATTAGATGGTTGTGAACTTATAAAATCCTTGATTCATTGGCATGGTATGTATTTACTTATTAATACTGTTTACAATTTATTATTGTGACAATTATATATATGTAAACAATATTTTACAAGTAGAGCAAGGTAGCAAAGATGTAGGAGGTCCCAATGCTGGAGAAAAAATGTTTAAGGATGAGGAATTGGTTACATTGATAGATCCAATATTTTCTATGGACGACAGCAACAATGATGGGTACATTGATTATCCTGAATTTATACGAGCACAGAAAGCAGCTGCTGCGAGTCGTCAATAGCTGCATACAATAGAGTAACATTAAGTATAATTGAACAATATTTTTACTTCATTTTGAACAAACCTACAGTTACATTTGTAAACATCTCATAGTTTCCACTTGTTACAATATAAGTAATGGTAGAGACTATTACTTGGCATAGAATTGCAATTCTTTTTGTTCTGTTCATTTTTTTCAAATAAAAAAAATGAATAAAATTTTTTTTTTATAATTATGTGCAACATTTTCTCTTTCGCGTTATTGATATAAATTTATTTCTTATCATTCCAGTCACTATTTTTTTCTAACACATATGTTATGTGTATCTGAGAAAATAGTACTATAATATTTATAAGAAAACTAATTGTAATAACAATTAAATAAGATAATTATTAATATTTGTAATTAATGTTTGGTACGTTGATATTCACCCGTTATGCATTAAAGATATTTGATTTTTACATAAAGTTGAATTAGGTTTCTTCAATTACAATTTATTACTTTTGTGATAAAAACTTGTAATAATTAATAAAATAATAGTGTAGCTATTAATGAAATTATATAGTTTTGAAGTTTATATTCTTTTAAAAAGATTCATACTAACTTAAAAATTTAAATAAATTGTTGGTTTTGTACTACTAACAATAATTGATGTATACAATTGCAGTATTGTAAATACTTCATACATTTGCACAGTGTTTACACAATATAAATCATTTAGATTAACATAGTTACAATTACTCATAGAACATATAATCACTCAAAGCGAGTCTTGTTATACAATATTTATATCACTATAAATTAAGAAATATGAGAATGTATTTGGTATATAAAATTCAAATAATGGTTCTACTTTTAAGAACCATAAACAGGTATGTGTATTGTATCGTTGTAAAAATGATATATAAATATAGTTTTGTTACAAATTCTTAATTGTTTTTCCTTATGTAAGGCCATACAAATGATAAATGCATTCATATCTTATTAAATAATTTCAAAAAATGATTATATATCTTCTTGTATTGTCTATCTTTTAATCTGAAACTTAATATAGATTTTAAAATACCACAGTGAAGAAACGTAAATAATTCAAGCGAAAATCGATTTTATGAAACATTTTAATATTTTTTTTATGAATATATAAATTTAACAGAATATATAAATTTTATAATACATTCACAAACTTTCCATAATAATGCTTACATAACATTTATTGCACACAGATCAACACTTTTAGTAAATATCGAATACTCCCTAATATTAATTCTGAATCCAAATATTTTAATTCATATTGAATTCAAATTATTACAATAAAAGCATTTTCATTATGCTAGTTAAAATAGTATGAAAATATTACTACAATTTTTTAGCTAAATGAAATCGTACTTACTTAAAGATACATTCCATTAACTAAGTAGTCCACATCGTGAGCGTATGGTCCATGATGTCTTCCACGTCTACGAACTACTCGTAAGCGACATATTATTAATGTAGCTGTGATGGCTGTTATCGTAAGTCCCAGAGCTAACGATATAACTGCACCTCTAGGTCTTAAAACTTCATTTTCATTTGTTTGTTTTAAATGTTCTGCCATTACAGTATTTCTTCCATGCTCTCTGATATGATCTTTGATAACTATTAAATTTTTATGTTCTGTGTAGAGAAAACGCGTAAGTAAAAGAATTATAATCAAACTTTTGCTAGAGGACAATATTACTATGCACCTTTAGGTTCTGCTGTTTGAATATGACTGTGTTTTGGAGTTTCGTTTCTTAAGACACTTTGTTTATTATTATCCTGGTTCTCTTCTTTTTTATACTGAACATGTTTGACTTCTTGTTTATTCGGCTTTTTCATTTCTTTGTCTTTGATTGGTGTATCTGTTTGTTCGTGTGATACCTAAAATAATATTGCATCAATATTGTTATAATATTCGATGAAACGAAAACAAACTTACATCGCAAGGAGGTGTAGTTGTACTAACGACATTCTTCTCAATTTCAATTACCGGTTTTTGTTGTACATTTGGTAGTGGAGATGGGGAAGGAAAAATTTGAGTATTTTGCCATGGATCTCTATTTGGCGATACAAAATGTGACGTATATGGATGCCTTAAATCTAAATAGGCACCACTAGAAGAATGTTTAATATAAGTACGATTATATAAAAAATTTATTAAATTTTTTACTTATTTTTACAATATCTTACTTGTCAGTTTCTTTTTCTCCTATAACACTTGATCCCTTGTGATTGAAAATATGTGATTGATCTTCTATAAAACAGAAAGTATAGTGTATCATTTCTTTATTAATAACGTAACTATTTTTACAAATACTTACGTTCATAATTATTTTGTTCGTGAAAAGAGTTAACAGGATTGTAGGCGTCTTTATTTTGTTCATACAGGGGTTGATAATCCCATTGATAGCCTGGAGCACCAAATTCTTTATGTCCTTGAGGTACTTCCACTTGTTGTGCCGGATACAAAAGTGGCTGCTGTTGTGGTATGATTTGGTGAGCTATATTATGTAGTTCCCATGGTTTAGGATTAACTTCTGGAACACGAGCGTACAGTGGTGCAAGAGATTTATGTTGATCCACCATTTGTTGATATTTTATAATATCAATGGGTAAAAGCTGTTGAGGTGGTTGAGGCCTTTGCATCAAAGGGGGAGGTATAGTTGGTTTTTCTGTGGGACATACAAGATCTGGTGCTGCTTCGTCAGATCCATCTGCACATTGCGGAATGCCATCGCACACATTATATACTGCTATACAATCTCCAGATGTTTGACATTCGTATTGATTGCGGCTACAAGCTATTACATACAACAATAAGTCATCATTCTTCTTTTTATTATCATTAAATAATTTTTTTAATTAATATATACCTTGTTTAATTGGTGGAGGTGTAGTAAATGATAATTTTGGTGTTATGGTTGGAATTAATTTTATGGATGGTTCCGTAAAGGAATATTCTACTGGCGCTGGATCTGCTAATTTTCTGCTCATATAAAAGTTGATCAAATCAATGTATATATTAAAAATATTAATATAATCATTACTCACCTGAGAGATTTTAACTCATGCTCTTGTTGTGAAATTCGAATTTCCTCTTCTAGTTGTACATTACTTTGTGTGTTATAGTTAGTACGCATTGCACTACTATAATTAGCATGACTGGTAAATTTACATTTAAAATCATGTAATGGCCCACATTGAAAAAGGTAACAACTTCCAGGTTTCTATGTTACATGTAAACAATTCATTATTAGTTGAATATAAATAATTAAGGAATCAGTATCATACAAAATAATGTTTATTTCACGTTTAACATACGATTTGAATGATTTTATACTAGTTTTATAATACATATAAACTGTCATAAGAAAATAATTGTATTAAATAGGTAGGCAGTGTAAAAAATTGTATTTACCTTTTCTTCAAAAATAAATACATCGCAACCTTCTGTATCACAGCAAAACTTTAGACATTCTTCTCTTGATTCAACATCGTCCTCATTTAAATACTTAGCACCCATTTCACGAGATTCATGCGTTCGAATTATTTTATCTTTGTGAATATCAAAAGTGTCGAGGCACATTGGATAATTGTTTCTAACACCAATTCGTTTTTCATTTTTTTTAGTTAATGTTTCACCGGTCACACAATAAAATATTGTAAAAAAATGGAAAAAGATTCGCAAAGCTCTGTAAAACATCATCTTCTACGATTTACGAAAAAGGCGCGCATGCGTTTCCGAGTTCCGTGGTTAATCAATAACTTCCGATATATTATCTTATTAAGCGATGCATCATCGAAAACAATATAAAATTGAATATAAATTTCTCTAAGAACTATACCTTTGAATATTAAAAAAAGAGTAATAAGTACTTTACAAATCAATTAATAACAATATTGTTGCACCTTAGTTTGTAACTAAAATATATAATAACATATAACAAAAACATTAGTCTTACAAAATCTTTAAGTTATTAAATTGTCTACAATGTTATTTATATTTTTACATACATAATATTGAATATAATTATATAATATTATTATATTAAGTAAGATGTATAAATGAAAAAAGATCGAAACACACAAATGATAATTTATACTATTTATTTCTTTAATATATTAACTAGAATTTTGTATACATTTTGTAGCCTAAGTACAATAACAACATAATCTACTGATTCATATAATCATTATGTCTATTGATAAAACTTTTTATTTCGTTTTATGGAATGGTTCTGTGTTTAGATATGTAACATTTTTACAATATTTTTCAGTTTCTCGATTTTTATGAAAATTTAAATAGTTCTGACATATTCATAATTTTGCTTCTATATAAGTTTAAACAATTATGTAATTTATAATACAATTATTTTATGTTCTGTAACACTACAAAATTTAAATTTCCAAACTTTTCATAATAAGTCAGATCTATTAGTAATATTACAATTGAGAACATGTTACAGATCTAAAACTTTTTTGCAACTTAGTGTATTACATGTCACACAATTATTCTATATTATTCCCACACAGTGTATAAAATTAGGAGAACTATATAAATTATTTACTTATTTCAAAATCATGGAACTAACAACCATTTTAAAAATCAATATTTTTGATGGAATGAACAACTATAAACTTTGTAAAAATGTACAATTGCACCCAATTCATTATACAGATGTGCCCCATTTGTATGGTGCTATCTCACTTGTGTCTAATGTGCAGTATGAAATATAAGATTAAAAATATAAAAAGCTATAAATTAAAGTCCAACAATTAGAATATTATAAGGACAATTGCATCATCTTTTACAAACAGATGGACATTATATCGATATATGAAAATTTTAACATTACATATAAGTAATTTGATACATAACTAAAAGAAATTTCTGTAATTAAAGTTTGTATAAATAGTTTAAACAAAACACTGATTCAACTTTTTTATATTTTCCCATCTCTAGATTTCCTTATACGTTATGCTACAAAGCTAAATTTTCAAATGTAATGTTGATAAAAGAAACACTTCTTTTTAATTATTTAAATCAGTGCTATCTTATATTAATTTATATTAATGGAAGTCAACAAGTGAATTCATTAAAAATCCATTGTTTATCTAAAAGAATTGTATGTTGCATATGATTTGATTTCTCAAGAATATACTCATTTTCTATGCTTATATGATAATTACATTATATTCAAATAAATGAACTTAAATGTCCAAACATAAGTATTATGATATTGGATGATGAAATGTTATACATGCAATTTTGTTGCATTTCTATTAAATAGTATCATGTATCCACTCCAGAAATATTATAAAATTCTTAAGTCTCCTTTACAACTCAGTACATATGTCGCCAAATACAATCCTTTATCGCATAGCTATCAATATTTGTAAAAAAAACTTTTCGATTTTTCCGTTTACAAAATATACATGTGATGTAGTTTTATATTGTGTTAAATGTACATTCACAATATTATGCACATTTGAAGTTGAAACGTATATAAATTCCTTACAATTTAGGCACATAGAACACACAATGATATCATAAAACTTGTGCATAACTAAGTTTCAATTATGAGAAAATCTTTTATTGTACATTATGATCATTTGGATGCACCTATTAATATGATCCTCACATTACAATTGTAAATTTATAGAGAGGTACTTGTATTTCCATTGAATACACTGTACATTTGCGATTACATATTCTCATAATTGTAATGTACATTACACACATCTTATTTAAGATCATTAGGAATACACACTAGAATAGAGTGCGTATAAATACATAGCTTTGTTTAATACTATATATATATTTATATATATATAACATGATACGACAAATACTGTTAGGTGTATTTTAAGGCACTCGTGCAAATAAAATATGAAATTGATAAAACAAACATATGAAACAAAACATTAAGTCGAATAACAATTGATAGACTTATATATACTTCATCTATTTGGTTGAATTTCATGATAAACTATATATTTTATTCCAATGAAGTAAATCGATATAACTTTATTCTTTGGAATGTAAATTAAAAAACAGAAAACTATGAAATGATTGTCCATGTACTATGTTGACCCTGTACTAACACTTACTTTTTAGCCTCTTAACAAGGAATAAATCTATACCACTTTTCTTCCTATAGCTAGGAACTTATTCTTATTCTAAGAACATTTCCTATTCCTAATATGTATATATTAATATAATGATAAGGAAAATAGTGAACAAATAGTTAAAACAATTTAAGACTTCATTATTATATAAACAGTAACTCATTAGGCACATTTCAATATTTTGAATAAAATAGAAACAAGAGATAAGGGAGTGAACATGTATCTTTGCATAATAGAAACTTTTTAACGAGCTATGAGATATTAAGCCAATTAATGTTTTCTTTACAAAACAAAACTGATATTTTCTATAAATAAAATTGTACTTATATTAAAAAAATGTAAGTCTGTAAACTCATAATTCTTTAAATGTATGTACACAAATAGATGTATATATGTGACTATTTCAATATTTCTAAAACACAATCTGTATATTTTTAAACTACCTTGATATGTAAATAGTAGAATTTGATTCAGAATCATAGTAACTAAAATAACCTAAGTGAAATATATATGTTTTGAACGATTAAAACATAACTGAATAATTTAATATATTTTTATTGCAGTTTCCCATTATATCAGATAAGGTCACAACATCTCATAGCTCATTGATTTGTATTATAACGTAAAATATAGGTATCCTTTACAGTAATTACTCCCACTTAAAATATTTATATATATATATATAATTTTATACAAATATAACTGTATATATTTTTGTAGGTCTATTTAACATTGCAAGAGTACATAGCATTTTTAAAACAATAGTAATAATAAATAAACAAATATACATACATATATATATACATACATTCCCAAAGAAAAAGATAGTGCACACATGCTATCTTCAATTTCTCGCATTATTTTACTTATTATTTTTACTAAGAGAATTTGTTGAAGAAAAGTCAATAAAAGTTATGTTTACATATGAGTAGATGGTAGTTTTTATGTATCATTTGCACCTTCCCTATGCCATAATTATAATGCGAGAAATGAAAGACAGCACACGTGTGCTGTCTTTTCCTTAGGAGTGTAAATATATACATATATATATATGCATGTATATATATATGCATCATATACATAAGTCTTTTCACAGTGTAAATTAGAATTCATAACGAGCACATTTATGGATTATAATATTCATAACTTTATTTGTACAAATAAAAGACTGATAGTCTTCGAAAACTATAAATAATCTACTATGTACTTTGTAGCTAAAATCTTTGGCTAAATACCTAACTACTCAAAATAACGTTTTTTCAAGTAACTTTTAACGATTAACATCATTCAACAACGCATTTTTGCAAAGTTCGTAGATGTTAATTTTCTGTAGTAGTACTTATACAATGAACATGTATAATTTAATTGAGATTAAAAATATTATATAATTGTATTTTTTTGCAATTTATAGTACTTTTCGTTAGAGGTACTTACATCATTTGTTCCACTATAGGCGATCACAGAGAACATACGTACGCAGCCATAATAATTTGCAGTGACTTCTTCCTATTATTCTATCGTTTTAAGATCTTGTATAGGTTCAACATAGTTTGCCACATCCTAAAATATTCAAATAATAAGAGAAATGTCTGAAATTAATATGTCATTTATAGACTGTGAAGACAAACCTGTACAGCAATTTGTAGAGGCGTTAATTCTCCTATAGAACAGTCGTTGCGAATGACGTTCGCCGGCAGAAGTCTTGGACAAGGCTTTCCAGTAAACAGAATGAACAGAGCATGAATACTTTTGCGTTGTGTTAATTCCATGTAACGATGTTGATAACCAGCTAAATGTCGCCGATGTCGTGACGTTGTAGGAAACCATCTTTCGCACAAATTGCAGTATCTTCTATGTTTTATTGTTGCCTGTATATAAAAGATTAATAAACAATTAGATATTTTATTTTTTTAATTATATTTAATAAATAAATGTACCTTCTCATGGTAAGCTAGTTGCGTTATAATATCAGCTATGGTCATTTCACAGTCTTTATAGGAATGTTTGTTACTCTCCTCTATCTTTTCAATTGGAGTTATTACTTTATTCTTTAGATCTTTCACATTTTCCAATGCATTATGAATCTCTTCTTGATTTGTAATAACTGGCGGTGATCTAGAACTATCTCTATCAGAACTGGAATCAAAATTTAAAGCAAATTCTGGCACTAATAATGGCATATTATCTTCTTTTATCTTTGTTTCACTTGAACTGTCATTGTCTTTCTGATCTTGAATAGTACTTATTGTTTTCTTTTCTGATTTTTTTTCTGGAAGTTTAGGTACATTTTGTGGGCTATTGAGATTGTTGGAGAGATTGCATGTATTAGCTTCTACATTCAAAGGTTCTTCAGTTACTGTAATTTGACCAAATTTCTTAGTTGTTTTTAAAGAAATTGTACTTGACTCAGGTACGCTAGTATATCCACATGTAGAAGTCATAGGACATTCGTGAGACGTTTCTTTTTGTTCCGTTGATTTTTCTAATTTTAACTGTTGTTCTATAGAAGAATGTTTTTCTTCAACTTTTTCAATATTTATCTGCTCGTATTCTTTCTTTGCCGTGCTCGGAGAATGCATGTTGTCAGATTTATATGATTCCTCTAAATTTTTGAAATTGAAATTTAAACCTTGTTTCTTTTCTGCTACCGTTTTGCTTCTTAGTATCCTTTCTTCCGTATCATCATTCACAGATCGAGTTAAACATTTTTTCAGTGTTTCCTTAGCAGCTAAGACTTCCTTAACTAATAAGTCATTACAATAAAAGTAATCGTTTGATTTTCTTTTTGGACTTTGTATTTTGTTTTCATTAAAGGCACTTTGTGAAGAACGTTGAAAATGGTTGAAAAATGCTTCTGTTAATCCTTTGTTAACATTTGTATCTTTGGAATGTGATGCATTTTCATATTTGTCAATGTTTAGACAGTTTAATATATTAATTTTTGGTGCAAGTGTATCTGTATGTTGTGCACTCCTATTATCAATAAGGTCTAATTCTAATTCCAATTGAGTTGGTATGGCATCTTCTAAATGCACTTTAGTTATACTTTCAAACTCACGGTTCTTTGAATCATCGTCGCTGCTATTTGGAGATGCCGGTAAAAGCTCTATAGTAGTTTGGCTTTCATCTGAAGAATCAATTTTGATAATGGAATTATCATTGTCATCAAAATTACGTGAACACAGAATATTAGACAGTAGGCATTTGTCTTCTCCTAAAGACATACTTTCCTTGGTCCCAAAGGATGGATATTTCCTTCTTTCAACCAATGGATCATTGTCTTCTTTTATTAAATGATTTTCAAAAGAGTCCTTTACATCATTTTCAGTTATATCTATTTCTTTTATTTCATTTTCACTTTCATCATTCAAAGTATTAATTATTCTTTTACTTTGTAACGGTAAGTCTTCCTTACCTTTCTTTTTCAAATTTTTATTCTCACTATCAATTATTTTGAGATTAGATACTTCATTAACATCTAATAGTTTACTTTTATCATCTTTTGAACCAATGCTGACAAAATCTGTTGATTTTATATCCAATTTCATGTAATCAGGATCAGAGAATCTTCTCTGTTTACACTTAATAGGTGACAAATGGGATGCTGAACTAGATCTACATAATTTAACTTTACAATCCGAATTTTTCTCATCAGTATTATCTTTAACATATAACTTATTATTTATTGAAAGTTTGGGTTGCTTTATATCCTTCGCCAGGTGATCTAAAGCTTTTAGTCTTTGTAATTTAACTTTTGGTTGCCATTTTGATATATCAACAGTCGAAGACATTTTACCTTTTCTAATTTCGCACTTGAATTCTGCACCAATTTGTGTTCTCTTTATTATGACTTTCGGAATTTTTTCAGTAATGCATTGCGGATACTTCTTTCTAATTTCATCATTGTTACAATGCTTGGCATCTTCTTCTTTTGTTCTCTTAGTTTTCTTGAGGATAGCTTTTGAAATATTTGTATCCTTTTCTTTGGTTCTTTCCGATAATAAGGTTTTATCTTCATCTTGCTTTCTTAATTTTAATTTTGGTATTTTCTCAGTTTCGTTGGTTGGTGGTTCCTGCATAATTTTTTCATCATTCTCAGAGCCACTAGCCTCTGAGTCTGAACTATTTTCTGTTTCATACTTTGTTGTAGAATTCTTCTTCTCTTGAATTTTTATTTTTTTCACCTTCACTTTTGAAACGTTGCTTTTAGTAGCCTTGCGTTTCAAATATAGCTTCAAATCTTTAGAAGAAATATCCTCCAATTTTATTTTTACTTTGGGAACTTTGTTTTCATAATTCTTGTATTTTAATGTATATAATTCGGAATCACTATTATCCACATCCATGCTGTTATCATTATGATCTGACAAAATGGGTTGAATTCTTTCAGATTTACTTTTTTCTACGATTTCAGTTGTAGGAGTCGCAGAACGAGATCTGTTTTTCATGATTATCATTTTAGGTATTTTTGGCCGCGCATCGGATAATAGCTTTGTATCATATTTATTAGAAGAATTTTCATGTTCTGTATAATCCGATAAACATTCTATTTTAGAACTTAAAGCATCAGTTTTCTTTATAACGAGTTTAGGTATCATTTTTATGTCTATGTTACCCTGTGATGAATTAGTTGTTTGATTAAAATCTTGATTTGGACAAGAATCGAGAGAAGATAATTGACATTCCTCTTTTTTCTGTTCATATTCTTTAGTATCTGTTTCCTTATTTATACTAGTTTCATTGGTTGAAGAATTTTCTGTTGCGCAATACATACTTAAAATAGGCATTTCATTTTCCACAGAAGATTCTCGACTAATTTTATATTCATCTTGAAGTTTATCAGGGTAGCTAGCATTCAAATGTTCCTCTGAGTTATCAAAAGATACCATTGAAGTTTCTTTTATGCTTGATACAATAGAATTTGCAGTATTTTCAACAGATGCCAGTGAATTGTTAACAGTATATTTTTCGTCAATGTGAAAAGTAGTTTTTGAAAAGTCTGTGAAAGTAGAATCAACACACGTTCTAGCCGTTACAATATCTACTTGCGTGAGATCGGTAGTTACAGTCTCATTGTTTTGAAATATTTCAGTAGTAACACATTTTAAGTTTTGTTGATTAGTTGTTGCATCTATCAACTCTATTTGAGATTCGTATACCTCCTGTCCTGTACAAATAACATTATTTGCTTTTGAAATATCTTTTTCTGGGTCAATTTTTTCTCTTTCTGAAGATACAATAGTTTCTTCAGTATTTTTATTTATATTTTCTTCATGTTCTTTACTTGCACTCACAGTTTGTACTCTTTCTATATTTTGACCGAACTCTGTTTCATTTTCAATAATAATTTTCTCAAATTTAGTGTGTTCTTTGTCATTTATTCCTTTATTAGTGCTCTTAGGCAATATATCTGTAGTTTCAGTGGATATATTTTTAGATACTTCATATACTAAAGTGTCTTCTGGCATTTCATCCGATGTAAAAGTTTTATCAGTTTCGCCCACTAATTTTTCATTTTGATTAGTTTCCAAGACTAAGGTTTCAGTATGATCATTATCCTCAGAAGTGTTCTGAATTTTTAAAATAGGACTTTGATTATTTCTCACTTCCATATCAGCTTCTTGTCTCTGGTTTTTAAAGTGTACAGGATTTTCTGAATCATGTATTTTACTATCTTCTGCTTTCTCAGAGATACATGAATGAAAGACCTGATCACTTTTACTCAATGAGCACATTTTATTTCTTTCTATACTTGTTTCGTCATTATTACTTACGTTTATATCTTCAATTTCATTATTTCCTGACTCTACACTCTCTTCATTTAAATTTTTATCTTTGCTGGGTTGAAGATTTTCAGAAGTGCAAGATTTGTCTAACAATAAGGATATTATATTGTCCTTTTCATTTACAGATTCATTTTGTTTGTTATTATCAAGGCGATTAAATTGAACCAGCTGTGTTTCTTTAAAAGATGTATCATTACTCTTACATGAACATGTATCAGATATTGTATGTCTTTTGTGTTTGTTTTCCAAGTCTGAATTATCTGTGATTAATTCTAATTTCTGCGATTTGGAAACAACTGTAATTGGTTTATTCTCTGTAGCATGATTTTTTCTGTAATCACTTGTTTCAGCAACAATATTCTTAGCATAACATACAATTTCCTCATCGGAATCACTGCTACTGCATGTTCTTATTATTTTAGAATGATTAGACCAAACAGCATTGGTATTTTTAAATCCGTGTACATAGTTCTTGCACTTAACATGATTTTTCCCACAGAAATCTTCCAAATAATTTTTCTTTTGTTCATAAAGATACTTTGTATCTTTATATTCATGTTTTTTCTTATCACTGAAACCATGATGCCGTTTCTTTTTGCAAAATTTCCGGAACTTCGAGCTGTAATGACTGTCCAAAGTATTCATATAGTGAGACTTTCGTGTAGAACAACCTGTTTCACGGCTACGAGTCTCCATCATTAATTCGTGATACGTGAATCTTCGATTAGGACTATAAGATATTTTTCCATCTTTGGTAGTGTATACAGGAACTGTGTGCAAATCTTCCGATTTATCTATGTTTGAGAAAATAGGATTTATGTACCCACTGGTACTTTGAAACATGCCACAGTCTTCAAAAAGGTGATCTATCTTTGGCTTCTTCCACGTTCTTATATAATTATCATCTAACTCACCAGTTTTTACTCCTAAATACTTTTTATAGTCCAGCTTATCAAAAGTGAAATCTAAAGCATTTAAGGAGCTCGACGATTTTGAGTTCAATTCTATAAAATTGATATCAGGTAGCTTCTTTATACTTTTCAACATGTAAGGTAAACTTTCCACCTTTTTCTCATCATTATTTTTAAATGCTTCCACTACAGTTTGAGAGGAACACTCTGCTACATTAGAACACCGATTCGGTGTTCGAACTGCACGATCACCTTCTATATTTATAAAAGTATCTTCCTCCTCAAACTTATTGTTTGTCTTAATTAACAATTTATTATTCACATCAGTTATGGCAGTATTAGATATTGCACTTTTTGTCTTGATCGTATCAACGTTAAAAGAATAGTTAGTACTCTTCATCTCGTTTGTATTTGATGTATTATTCTGTAATAATTTAGTAACAGATTGACTATCCGAAGTCAAGCATGACTGAAAAGCATCATCTTTTATATCCGACGAAGGTTTTTCACTGCTTTTATGGATGGTACTTATATTTGCATCTCTAACCGATGTTGCTGTATCATTTGTGGTTTGGTCCTTTTCATTTGAGGTAATGTCACCAGCCACGGAAGATTTTTCAATTATTTTATGAACTATATCAAAATTACTATTTATCATTTCCTGTTCAGTGGAATGTATTCGATGTTGGCTATCCAATATATTGCTACAAGAAGAATCATCGATTTCATACGAAAGCCGTTTGCTCTGCTCGTGACCCTTCAAATTTCTTTCTGCGCAGGAAACATTTATTTCTATTTTTATGCTATCCAGAGTATCTTTTATATGTTCCTGCCCCTTGTCTCCAAAGATTAGTTCTTTCCCAATTTCACTATCTTTAAATTTTAAATTTACGTTTGCAACTTGGATCCCAAAATCAGAATTAGTATTTTTCACAAAGCTTTTTTTATATTTAAGTTTTGTGGTCTTCTCTTGTGCATCCAAATTATCTGAAGTTGAAGTAATCTGAGATGATACATTTTGCTCCATGGGTGCTTTATCAATATTACCATTTTCTTTCTGCAACTTATCTCCCATATTTTTATTTTGATGCAGTTTATCATCCTTCCCGTTATATTCATTCAACAGACGCATTTCTCCTGCAGTATATCCAGTGTCTTCATCTAAGGTATCTAGATCCTTTTGCGTTACTTCAGACCTTTTATAGTTCTGCGAATATTTTTTCATTTCTACTTCCTCCAAAAGATCTTTCGTACAGTTTGTTCGTAATTGAAATTCATGTGGTTTTTCACAATTAATGCTCATAGTTTTCTCTGCAGTGCCGTGTGATTTCTTATCGCTTAAAGTAATGGTATCTTTTATCACAGCTATAGAATAATTTTTGTATTGAGAAGTCATATGGCACACAGATTGTTCTTCATCTTGAGATGAAATTGAACCATCTCTAACAAACAGTTTAATGTCGGAATGTTTTGATTGCATTAAATATTCTTCATCCTTTTTATGAGCTTTCATTAGCTTATCCCCATTTATATTTCTATTTATATACTTATCCACGCAAACTATGTTTTCCTTTACTCTTTTTCCTGCACTTAAATCAACTTCTGAAAGAAGTGGATTGGTTGTATCTACAGATATATTTGAATTTTTTATTTTCTGTTTTTTGGAGAGATCTTTTTCATGTTTAGACGATTGAGTTTCATTGTCAAGTCCTATAGGATGTACCAAATTCACATTAGAAGCAACTGAAACAACAGTATGCGCCAATTTATTTTTATCAACCAGTGAATTACTAATTTGACCGACAGATTTTATTGAATCCATTAATTTTTTCTTCCTCTTCTGTTTCCCTTCTTGTGTTAGATTTGATGATTCGTAATCTGTATTCTTTTCGCTGTCTATTGCCTCCTGTTGAACTCCCAGTTCATATGCGATTGATGTTAATGCCTCGCATGTATCCGAAACCCTTACATCACGTTCTTTACCTTCTATTAAGTACACTTTCTTTCTTATTAAACTTGTTCCAAAACTCTTCGCTTGTTTATCTTTAGTTAACTCAAGAGATTTTACTTTAGCATTGTCAGTAGTAAAAGGGAAATTATCAAAAGTTGCTTCTTGTTCATGGATATTATTAATGTCACCTTTGTAATTAAGCTTATCTTCGTTATTTAGTTGTCCATATGGTTCCATTTTAACTGGAGACTGTGTGAAACTAATTACTGGACTGTTTTGCATTACTTCTATTGGATTCGTGGATATAGATAAGTCTTCCATATTTTGTGAAGATTCCTCGCTATCAGAGTGTATAGGAGTATTTAAAGTTGTAGATATTGGTGTGCACTCAGATGTTGGAAGGTCTGGTAAACTTATGTCATCAGGATTGTGTGATTCTTCGCTAACAAAACTGTTTTGTTTCTTTAACTCTAGATTATTGGTAACATCCAAATTACTCTTTGTTGAAGATGATAAAGCTCTCAGTTCTTGATTATTTATCGAAGCAGTGGCTGTTTGAATTGTTTCAGAAATGTTAGAATCTTCAATATTAGTGTCCTTGGCTACATCATCGTAATCTGCAGACAATAAATGAGTTTCATCTTTGTCGTGTTGTTCAGTAGTCTCAAGCATTACTCCTTTTCTTTTATTATTGGCTGTTTCTCTGAAAAATGATATTGTCTTCTGTTTCTCTAATGTCTCTATGACTTGGTCGTTGGACGCACCTAAAATGTTGCTTATTTCTAAGTTATCTACTATATGTATGGTAGGTATTTCATCAGGTCCGTTACTTATACAGTGTATTATACTCCCAGGCTTTACGACACCTTCTTGTATCGTTTGTTTAGAAGAGTCGACGACATCAGTGGTAGCTTCTGAAGACGAATATGATATTGTTAAACAATCTTGTGTTGCTATGTTTTCTTCAGCCTCTTTATCATTGTTTAATATAGTATTACTCGAAGGAAAATTGTCCCTTTGAGACATCTCCGAATTTTGTAGTGTTTTCGATGAAAGATCCACATTCTCGTAGCTAACGACTACGACAGGAGTTGTATCGTTTAAAGCTGCGACTGGTAAATTTGACGTACCTTCTTCATCATCCGTTTCATCCCAATTAGCTAAAAACTGCCGAACGTCAAGTTCTGGTTTATTATCGAATTCTTTAGAAGTTTTCTGCTGCATTATTGTTTTATTATCGTTATCGGTATTTAAAGTATCAAAACTATGACTGTCACTTGTTTGTACTATCAACTGATTTTGATTAAAATCTTTCTGTACCGAATATTGATCTTGCTTTTGAAAACTCTCTACACAAGAAGGAGGAATATGTTCACTTTGCGAGGGAATCATTAAGTGTTCCGATTGTTGTGTTTGTTGACACTTTTCATTAGCTGCAGAAGTCTGATTTTTAATTTGTTTTTCCATAATCTCTGATGATTGTTCTGTAGTTGGAGCATGTGGCAATTTAGGAATACCATCCGGCAAATAACTGGAGTTGATCAACATACCATTTTGGTCGAATTGTAAATTAATTGGTGGTACTGCAGTATTAATTGGTGTTGGTACTCGTGATGTTTGAACAGGGTTCTGATAATTAGTTGATTGTTGTAATTTCAATAATTGTCTGTATCTCATAACGCACTCTTTGTACTTTGAATGCGATTGATACCCAGGTATTCGACTTAATTCTCTGAGATGATTTTCCATTGAAAATTTTTGCATTGCAATTTTATGTTGATACGTCTGATGTTGAGAAGGAGAGTTGTGTACAAAAGTACCTGCTAGTCTATTAGCAGTATTGTCAGTAGCTTCTTGACATTCATGAGACATTTCTGTTGGAATGTTTCTTGTAAACTGTGAATTGAAATAACCATTTTGTGAAGATGGAACCATATTTCCACTAACATTTACAGCAGGCATCGCTTTAGGTAACATATTTCCATTCTGATATTGAAATTGTTTGTTATTATACTTTTGTTGAGGTATAAAATTTTGTTCTGAATGTTTCAACATTCCTGAATTTGGAATATTCATATTATTAGTCTTCGGATGTTCTTTCACCGGATAAGGGTACTTTGGATGTTCTGTTGAGTAGTTGTAATTTTGTATAGGATAGTTGGGAAACATTCCCGCAGACGTTGAATAGTTTCTATGTAATAAATGATCTTTATGGTACTTGTAATCAGTATAGTTTCTTCGGTGATCCACAACAGGTGCACTAGGCACCACAGAACCCATTGCTTCCTTACCTTCTAGATTGTCTTTCCTAAAATTACAATTACTTCCGAAATGTCTGTTCTCCATTTGGTAGTTGGATGGATGTACATTATCCCTATACGATGTATTATTTTGATAAGATCCAAACTTTTCCCATTGTTGATAATTAATATTGGGATCTGAATTGCAACAGAGTCCCTTACAAGGCATATACGAAGGGGGTCCAGGTTTTCCAGAATGTATTGAACCCATATTAGTATTTCTTGGTCCCATAGTTGTAGGTACAGAACCTGATCCATGTGGAAATCCGGATACAGATCCGTGTCTAGGACCAGGTCCATACATAGGACTAGCTCCAGGTCCATTTCCAGTTCCAGGGCCAGTTCCAGAACCAGTTCCAGGTCCTGGTCCAGAATTAGTTCGGGATCCAAGCCCGGGTATAGGTCCAGAAGTTGTATTTAGATTACAACTTGGTCCACTTAAGTGACCCATAGGCCCATTAAAAGGCACCTGATTACTTCTGTATCCCATATCATCGTTTATATTTGTGATTGCAGTATTTCTAGGATCCACAGAAGAGTTTAAGTTATCCAACATGGGATTTCTTGCATTTGGAGAAGTATAATGGCTAATGCAATTTTGCATTTGTGCCATAGATACAAGAGGGCTATTATTCGAAATGTTTGCCCCACTCGAGACATTATTGAACGACTGATAATTTCTTGAATTAAAATTAGTATCATTTTGATGTTTACTAAGGCCCTCAGAACTAAGACTAAGTGCATTCAATGTCGGTGGACTAACACCAGGAATGAATGCCAAATGACCAGAATTCACATTTTGTGTAGCAGACGTAACTTCGTTTGTTTGCGATGCATTAAATTGGTGCCAATCTGGCATATTTCCATTGTAGTTCATTGTACATTGTTTGATTACAAGTTTCTTATATTTATCTCATTCCCCTTATTCACAGAAATGATTGCACCAGGCAGGAACAGAACCTGCAGAAGAAAAAACAGAATTACTTTCTGAAGTATAAAACACAATAATACATAATGTTTATATAATATAATATAATATAATATAATATAATATAATGTTTTGAATTATAGAAAACACTATAAGTATCTTTTAAAACTTTTGTGCTTCGTTTATTAAAATGTAGAGATCTATTAATATAAATTGTAATAAACCAAAATAATCTATCATATGATGAATTCTCAATGTTTCAGTAAGATCTGCAGAATTTCATTAAGCTTGAATTTATAAAATACTTTAATTTCGTTTTAATTTCAAATTATGAGTGAAATATAAAGTATAAAACTACTTCATTTAATATGTTTGAGTATTTTCGTAATATTATTTCACACTAATGACTTTTGAGGTACATTCTCGAAAATATTGTTTAGAATACTCCATTTTCAAATTTTACTTAATTAATCTCCATTTATACAGTCATCAAGTGTTAGTAGATATTATTGTCCAGCAATCGTCTTCCAATTTTTCTTCCTTCATTTCATTTTATATTTCTAGTTCACAAAACAATAAAATCAGGAGCACGTATTTTTCACACCACACACCTGTCATTGCAAATGTAACTCACTAATCGGACCTTGAAGGTACAAAGGTTGACAGAGTTCACATATTTCAACGTAAAAATTACATTAATATCTAGTTCCATGAAACACGAATGAAAATATCAATAAACGTATGAAGTTGTGAGCATAAAACGAATGGAATTCCATCGTTTAACTTATTTGGTAGACCAAAATTAGAAAAAATCAAGACAAAACTTACCTGCACGTTAATGCAATTCACAATACACTCGCCATATTGGACACGACTACTAGACAGATATCACTCATTCTCAGGTAGTTCAGCCGTGGGTTCCATTTCAATATTATGTTCGATCGTATCGACTACGTTTTCCTGGTTTCTTAGGGAAAATTTCGATTGTTTACTGGTGCCTATTCACGCTATTAAAAAATCCCTATCTAACTTGGTGGAATACATGTGTATATATACACACACATTGTATATACATACCATTGAGTATCACAATATCAGAGAGAGCTCTCAATGTAGTTATGGATTCTCGAGTCACGGAGTGAAGTGAATAACTATTTTGTTGTTATATATTTTTGCACATACAGAAACTTATCTAAATATAGCCAAGAAAAATTTTTCATTATTCTCGGTTGCCTGCAGTACATCGGCTATACATGTGTTTATCTTGGTTCTCTGTTGCACGCTGGCTCCAAAATTGTTGTTTTCTTTCGTAGTGTCTAAGGTGTAACGTGAAAAGAACGTTGACATGCCGTTTCAATTTCACGACGTCCAGGTAAAATTTCGAAATGCAATACGAACTATATCATACATCTAACATTACCAGTATTAGGAAAAATAAAAAGATTACCCGGTTTCTTTATGAGACTAAATTATGCTATGTCACTTTTAATTAATTTCGTTACATTACTATTCATCTCTTGACTGTGACTTCGTATTGTAACTTTTGAATTTTAAAACAGTATTCATTTTTCTTGTGTAATGAACAAATATAATTGATAATATTTCATGTATTTAGCAAAATGTGGTGGAGCCTATGCAAGTTGATGCTCCTGCGGAAGATAATGACAATGCAGAACAGGAACCTTATATTGTGGAAAACCCAACGCTGGTATGTGTTATGTAAATATTATAAAGCATAACTATCACTATGTATTTTCTATCTTATTCCATCCGCAGGACTTGGAAGTATACGCTAACAGCTACACAGGTCTTGCCAAATTATACAGGCTCATGTACATAGCTGAACATTGTCCCATGCTAAGGGTAGAAGCATTAAAGATGGCTATCTCTTATGTGATGACAACATACAATGTTTCTCTATATATAATATTACATAAAAAGTTGGTACAAGTTGTAGGCACACCTGGGTTACCAGATGTTGCAGCTCAGTCAACATCTCAAGATATGTTAACTTTAGACCAAGCATGGGTTGAATCTAGATCTAAAAAGGCTGTTCTAAAATTAGAAAAATTCGATACAGATTTGAAGAATTACAGAAGTAACTCCATTAAAGAAAGTATCAGAAGGGGCCATGATGATTTGGGTGATCATTATCTTGATTGTGGAGATCTTTTGAATGCCTTAAAGTGTTACTCCAGAGCAAGGGATTACTGCACCAGTAGCAAACATGTTGTGAACATGTGTTTAAATGTTATCAAAGTTTCTGTTTACTTACAAAATTGGACTCATGTACTGAGTTACGTTACAAAGGCTGAAAGTACACCAGATTTCTATGATGTTCATGGTAAAGATAACAATCAGTCTATAGTTACAAAATTAAAGGTTGCAGCCGGTTTGGCGGAACTAGCAACAAGAAGATTCAAAATGGCAGCTAGACATTTTCTCCAAGCATCGCTAGATCATTGCGACTGTCCAGAATTGTTGTCTCCTGGAAATATTGCTTTATATGGAGGCCTTTGTGCTTTAGCTACATTTGATAGACATGAATTACAAAAGCAAGTTATTTTCAGTAGTTCCTTCAAATTATTCTTAGAGTTGGAACCACAATTAAGAGATATTATTTTTGCATTTTATGAGTCAAAGTATGCAATATGTTTGAAGTTATTGGATGAAATTCAGGATAACGTACTCTTGGATATGTACATAGCACCACATGTAAATGTATTATACACGCAAATACGAAATAGAGCACTAATACAATATTTTAGTCCATATTTAAGTGCAGATATGAGACGTATGGCAACTGCATTTAACAGAACAGTTTCAGAGTTAGAAGATGAACTCATGCAACTAATTCTTGATGGACAAATTCAAGCTCGTATAGATTCCCATAATAAGGTAATTGCTCTCCATAATCACTAGTATTGAGATTTTATTAAATTTGTGTTTTCATATGCTTCATAACACATTTGTAGATTTTATATGCAAAAGATGTTGATCAGCGTAGTACAACCTTTGAAAAGTCAATAAGTGTTGGTAAAGAATATCAGAGACGTACACGCATGTTAATCTTAAGGGCAGCTATGTTGAAACAACAAATACATGTTAAGGTATTTACATAAATTTTTTCTAAATAACACTCTATTTGTAATTAGTGTACTATATGTGTTCCTAACACTGTTACAGAGTCTTCAACGTGATAGTACTCAAGGAGGAGAAATGTCAGTCACTTGGAAGCAATAGTTTAATGGTAAGAAATTGAATTGTGACTTACGCTAATCTTTTGATTAATAAATATTATTATTATTCAAATAAACTGCCATGGTCAGTGAAATACAAAAAAGTACTTCAATTCCATATCGGACATGTTACTAATCTATGTAAATTGCTGGTACCAAATTCGACTTTCAATAAATGGTACATTTGTGTATCATAAATCTTTTCAAGGCAAAGTCATTATTTTTAAAACTGTACTGGTTACAAATTTGAATGAATCTTTGATAACACATAATGTATGCTAGCATCTTTGCATCAATAAACATATAAATACTGTTTTTCATGCATGTGTGTGCTCATTTTTTAAGGTTAATTATTATATAAAGAAATAATACATTCTCGTTTTAAATTATATTTAAATAATCTTTTATCTGGAAAATTATGAAACTTCATATTATTGGGTAAATGTCAAAGACATTATTTTATATTTTGTACGTGATTTAATTATAATATTATTTTTTTGTATTATAAAACAATGCATAACTATTGTGTATAATGAAATTTACAATTTTATATAGATTTATTAAAAATTCGGGTATTTGTGCTTTTGTGTATTTAAAAAAAGATATTTAACGTGATATTAGTCTGTATAATTAGTTAATAACAATAAGAACATCTGTTTATTGTAAAAGCATAATTGTTTAAAAAATTGACACTTAGGTTAACATCTAACTTATATAATCTATCCTATGGAACTCCCATTCTTTTGTACAATATTTGTAATATACAATTAGTATATCAATTGAGATAGGAATTATCTGTATTTAAAATACAGTTACAGATAATACATATACAGTGAAATATATATACTTATATAAACCAACGTGAACATCTATTTGTACTACTCTGTCATTTAAAGGAAGTGATCATACGTCTATCCAGTTTGCATTAGCAACATTTTTCATTTCGATTATTCAAATAATCGATGTCTTACTAATAAAATGTGTTACAGTACAATAAAAAAGCTTAGAAAAATATAATATTTTTTTACAACAAATTTGTGTACGAAACTAGAAACGATCTAACTGTATGAATAATATTCTTTTATGTAACTATAATTCAGTAACATATCCTTGATAAGAAAATGGCGAGGACTCCATTACACACTTTCTTCTTGAGCCTGAAAAAGTTATTTTCATTATTAAATTATTTAAAACAAAGCCTGTAACTTTGTTATTTGGTATCTCCATAGCCTCATTTAATAGAGTTGTACATGAATCTATGTATAGATATGTACAGAAGTGTAGTGTGCTATCTATAAATGTATAAATTACAAAGATATATTAATCTTTTAATTTTTTCATTTTATAAGTAAGGCAATTACCTTAAACATGACTGGTAAGGAAAATTAAAATAATTGGTGTTCGTATATGCAAGTTTCATTGGCTTTATTTAAGTGTGTAAATATGATACATACTTGTAGTTCTAATTTTCTTAATGATACATTCATAAGGAAAGGACCTCAATTGGTTGGAGTTAATGTGATTTTGCATGATGGTAATATATACAGATTCCTAATGATACATGTAAAATATACAAGGTGTAACAAAATTATTGCACACAAATGACAGGGCGTGTACAACCCACCAAACCGAGTAAAACAACCACAATGAACATGGGTCTAAAACGCAATAGTTTCAGGTCCTCATACATTTCTTTTCAAACTAAACCTATTTGTATCTCGGAAACCATTGAATTTTAAACTCGTGTTCATTGTGGTTTTTTTACCCAGTTTAATGAGTTGTACACGCTCTGTTATTTATGCGCAACAATTTTGTTACACCTTGCATATATTACATGTATCATTAGGAGTCTATATACTACCATCATTCAAAGCCACATTATAATCGAGATCCGTGCCTTTTAAATTTTTTAGAAAAATAAACAACGACTAGAGTATGATTTTAAGTGATATTATAAAAATACATTGTATATACATGTAAATACAGTATACTCTATACAGTTCCAGTTACCGAAAATGAAAAATAATACAATATCAATATTATGAAATGCACGTAATATTTGTTCACCAACTTCGTTAACCGTCTCCCAATTTTTTTCACGATTTTTATGTATCATTAAGTAGGAAAAATGAAACAAAAACTGATAATTCAAATTTACCCTATAACTACCCTTCTGGTTGATATAGAAGGCTGAAAATTGGTATACAATATTTTTTATAGGTAAGCTATCAAAGATAGTACCTTTGCGCGAATATAGTATTAATGCTTTATAAAGTATCGTAAAGAAGCATTGTAATAAGAATTAAAATTGCCTTCTTTATGTACCTTTAGAGCAGTTGTAATTCCAAAAGTGACCAGCATTCCCAAACCAAATGCTAAAAGATGTGGAATATATTTAATTCCGGGTATACTGGGTCGTTTTGCCACCATAGATGTTAAGAAGGACAGTTTCTTGTCGGTATATGGTGGATACCGACATCTGTAATAATCAATTATTGCAAAAATAGTTTGGAAGAATGATCACACTAATAAAATTAAAAATATTTGCTTACGATGCCAAGGATTCTGCCAACTTGTTGAAATCCTTAATGAGACAACCCTTTTTGTGGACAAATGTATCATACGAATACTTTCCATGATAACATCCCATACCAGAGTAACCAACTCCACCAAACGGTATAGTGTCAACTGCAGCAATGATTTTTCATGTTATTTTATTCCAATAGCTATTTCATTAGATACATGTGAATAAAGTGTAAACTAATCTCTAAAGGAAATGCATAAGAGTGTAAATAAGCAAAACATTTACAAGAAGATGTTAAGCATAAAAGGAACATGCGCACAAAATAAGGTATATATTTTAGGGTAGAATTTTATGGGCTGAATAATAAAATGGTGAAAACTTCCTTTAATCTGATATTCCTCGCTTGGAGGTCACAGAAAGAATGTCCTGAGAAGGGCACTGTTTAGCTAGAGGATATCCCAGAGTCCCCTCAACATTAGACAATATTAATGCAATTATAAAACTTTTTTATGTAACTTTATACAATTATATAACTTTTACTAATGCGGTTGTAAAATTCTTCTGATTAAAACGAGAACATGACATACTTTAAGTTACAATTTAGTAGAAGAAAATAGATTATTGTAATTTATTAAGAAAGTAAATATGTTCAAAAATATATTGTGTTTGGTCTCCTTTAAATCAGAAATATTTTACGATTCAATGGGTAAAAGTTTCAATTAGTAAAAGTGAAAAATAAAGAAGTTTAACATTGCATTAATATTCCCTTATTCATTTGTTTGTTTGAGCGTTCTGAAGGTCGGGCGTCTTGCTCTTTCATTCGCAGTGCCTTTCTCTATAGATGACAAACAGAGGTATTCGACCCTCTCTCTGTGTGCGTGTGTGTGTGTGTGCACGCGCGCGTGTGTGTCTGGATACATGTGCTAAATGTTATGTGAGAAAGGTCGTATCTCTTTGATAATCTTCTGACAGTGAAGAATTAATTAAGAGAAAGAAGAAACAAATACCTGCGATATGCATCATTGTATCATTAACACAAGAATTACCACTACTTGTATTATCAAGCAAGAGTGATACAGTTTTCTTATCATTGCTAAATATATACAGTGATAATGGCTTCTCCCTGTGTAAAATATGTAATAATGTACAAATTATTCAAGTGACTAGCAATTAATATTGGTTTGATTCTATTTCAATAAAAACAGGAAATACTCTTATATTTCCATGTATTATACCAAGAGTGTAAGGAGTGTGAATATCCACGAATGAAATTAGAAGTATGAGGCAGTTTTATCCTGAACTTACTTAAAATCAATTTTAGGGTGTAAAATACTATATACAGGGTAAAATATTATATACAAGGTAAAAATTATATGTACACAGCCATTCCACTTTGTTCTTATGCACCACCAAAACTTGATTTCATTATAATTACAATACCTATTTTAAATAATATGCTGGCTAACATACGAAAATAAAGTAACCGAAGACCAACACCTTAATATTTGGTTAAAAATCTAATATTTGGAGCTGAGCATGCTATGTCAAAGAAGTAATTTACTACAGGCACAGAAACTTCATAGTATTTTATAAATTTTATAGTTGTTCAAACACCAGGAATCAACATGCATAACACTACACCTTATAAGATTCCAAATGTAGTTTTCAAATGAAGAGAATTTTTCTACTATTTCTACATCAGCAAACTACTTATCATTCTTTTTCTAATATCCTGACTCACCAGAAAATTGCATTATTGTTTCGTTAACTGCCACACTTCCACTATGAGTTTGACTAACTATTAATTCCTGAACTCCCCTGTCCTTGGTAAATACATATAGTACAAGTGGGTTTTCGCTAAATATAAAAAATGAATGAATCACTATGAATTATTACTCAGAACAAAATTGCTCTTTAACTTGTGTGCCAATGGAATCCATTGCAATGTAGATAAAGAAATAAGATCTAATTACATATAATATATACAGTTACAGAATACCCAATTGCAAGTTATTTCAGGATATCTGTATCATATACTATATCAAATTTTTTTGTATAAAGTAATTCAAAGTTGAAACTTACCGGCTATTTATAAATTTAATAGCTTCGTATGCATTATTTACGTTTATAAAAGGTAATATTGGTCCAAATATTTCATCTTGCATGACAGGATCCGTAGGTTTAACATCCACAAGTATAGTTGGGGAAATGTATTTTTCAGTAGGATCACAGTTTCCTCCAATCGCTATTCTACCATTTCCACTTAAGTATTTTACAAGTCGACTGTAAAAATATATTAGAAATATTATGCCATTGCATAGTATCCGCGTGGAATACTAATAAAATTATATTTTTCTGTAAAATTATACTTACTGATAATGATTTTCATTGATTATACGTGCCAAATCTGGACTTTCTTTAGGATTATCACCATACCATTCTTTTAGAATTTTCTGTGCTTCATTTATAAATTTGTTTTGTACTTCTGGCGAACAAAGTACATAGTCTGGTGCAATACAGGTTTGACCCACATTAATGAATTTACCCCAAAGTACTCTTTTCGTAGTTATATGTATATCCACAGTATTGTCTATATACACAGGGCTGCAAATATGCATTTATGTTTTACTCCTTTATGTTACTAAACTTAAGAATGTAATTTTATACCTTTTGCCGCCAAGTTCTAATGTAACAGGTGTTAGGAATTTATTTGATGCATCTCGTATTATTTTTCCAACTGTAGTGGAACCAGTATAAAATATATAATCAAATCTTTGTTTGAGTAATTCCGTTGTTTCGCTAACACCTCCAAGCACAACTTGAACACAATCCTGAGGAATAAGAAAAAAGTAATAAAGTATAATCTAAAACATACTCATTGTTTCATTTGCTATACATACTGCATCTAAATATTTTGGAATAATTCTTGCAAATAATTGTGATGTAGCTACAGACAGTTCTGATGGTTTAAGAACTACACAATTTCCAGCAGCTATGGCACCCATCAAAGGAATTATGCATAATTGAAAGGGATAATTCCATGCTCCCATAACAAGAACTACACCATATGGATCCTTTCGAATTTCAACTCCGTCCAACAAGTTAATCATTGACTTTGGAGGCTGGAGCATGTATATATACATATTTAATGTACTATGTGTTAATTATATAGCTACATTATTCCACTAAGTATATACCTTTTCTGCAGCTGACCATTCTTTAATGTTCATAAGCAATGTCTTGACTTCTCCTATTGAAATAAGTAGTTCCAAAGCAATAGTCTCAAATTTACACTAAAAGTGAAAAAAGATATGTTGTACGAGTATTCAAAGTAAGACATCAATTATATAACATAGATAATGTATCATGCATACTCTACGTAAATCAGTAGTAAGTGCAGATATTATATCATTCTTGCATTCCTCTAGCATAAGATCTATTTGTTTCAACTG